GGTAGCAGCCAGGGAAGACCTTGGCAACTCCGAAATTTAGTTTCCGTTGATTAATTTCCTCTCACAGCTCAATCATCACGTCGACAATTTTTCGCATATTTCTCCACCCTTCGGATATCATTTACGAGTACAGCTGACAGCTGAAAATCGAACCGGGTTCGCCAACGTAGTGGGGTGGGATTGGTTGGGAGCCGGCCTGAAGGCTATCAGTGCAGCTAGTGACGGTTCGGGGCCAAAATTTAATTTCGGGCCATGTTCGTTAAAAGTTCGGTCACATGATTTATTTGCCCTGCCCGCATTGATTTCCAGTTCGACTTCGATTTCTGGTTTCTGGTTTCGCTGCTCTCGCCACTTGCTTAATGAAATCATTCCGTGGCACACACAAACTCCCACTCTAAATATAATATATACATATATATGTATGTATTTGGTGCTCCTGTCCCATCGATTCGGATTAATTGTTAAATCGAATGTGCTGTTTGGGCTGTAAGCGACAGCAATCCGTATGCGTAATGCGATTATTGATATGTGTTGATTGGAATCGATTGCCACTGTCCCACACGCAGAACAATCACAGAGAATGGATTAAATATTGACCAGAGAGGGGGGAGACCTCTACCAATCACAACTAGCTTCTGCTCATCATTTTGGCTGAATAGGAACGGAACTGATTTGAGATAATTGTGTGATATTTCGTGGTGTGGTGTGGAATGCGTTGCATAACTCTACTCTTAAAATGTATCCCTGGTGTGTGTGTGTGTGCATATTCTCCTCAAATGTATCCCAGGGATACGGTGTGTTTTTTTTTTTTATTCATTTGTTTATTCCTTCTAATTAATTATCTAGCTTTAATAATACTTTAAATATAATAATAATAATAATACTTCTTACACTAGTGGGTATACTCATAATGAGGGCCGTATTTTCTGGTGGGAGTGGGCGCCCGTCGCGCGCGGTACTGCCGCAAAGCATTGCTTCGCACGCTCGAAGGCTCCTACTCCGTCTCCTGTTTACGACTCCTCTCCAATGCTCTCAGCGTTCGCATAACGCTCGAGGCGAACTCTGCGGCCGCTTCCCATGTCCTTGGCTCGGCCAGCATGATCGGCACCAAGGTCTCGGAGGAGATCCTGGCGCCTACTGCTGTCTCCATGCGGTGTCGCTCGTGGTCGAACCGGTGGCATTCGAAGAGGACGTGCTGTGCATCCTCCACTATGCCGGTGCCGCACTCTGGGCACCAGTCCTCCGTCTCGTGGCCAAAGCGCTTGAGGTAGCTGCGGAAGCAGCCATGACCGCTAAGCGCTTGGGTGAGGTAAAAATCTACCCGGCCGTGCTTCCTCTCCATCCAGGCTTGCAGCTTCGGTATGAGGGTGTAAGTCCAGCGCCCCTTAGTTGACCTGTCCCACTGGTTCTGCCATCTGCTGATGCTGTTCCTCCTCGCTGCAGCCTTCAGCTCTGCTCTTGTCGCATCGCTTTCGCCCTGCACGGCTGTATGGATCTCCGCTCTCTCCCTTATTAGCTCCCTGAGTGGGACTTGCCCCGCAATGACTAGCGCAGCTTCGTCCGACACAGTCCGGAACGAGCACGCTATTCGTAGGGCACACAGCCTGTACGTCGCCTCAACGCCTCGCATGTAGGTCTTTACCTGAGCGGCTTTCGCCCACGCGGGCGCTGCGTACAGGATCTGCGACGTCACAACACTCGTCAGGAGCTTCCGCGTTGCCTGCTTCGGACCTCTGGTGTTGAGGAGCATCCGTGAGAGCGCTCCTGCGGTTCCGCTGGCCTTCCTCTGCACGTACTCCAAGTGCTCCTTGAAGGAGAGGCGAGTGTCGATGAGCACCCCGAGGTACTTGATTGCCCTCTGCGAGCGTATCGTGGTGCCACCGACCTGCACACTTGCAGTCTCTACAGCTTTCCGGCTCGATATGAGCACCGCCTCGGTCTTCTGCGCTGCCAGGTCCAATCCGGCGACCGTAAGCCACGACTCCACGGCTCGGACGGCCGCGTTGGCGAGCTCCTCCGCTGCGGCAAGGTGCTTGGCCACCACTACTATGGCGACGTCATCCGCAAACCCCACCATGCTGGTGTTGGCTGGCATCGGGAGTCTCAGGACTCCGTCGTACATNCTTCCTATTCTGGGTCTGAGTAGGGGCTGCTCTTCCTGGGTTCGGTTCGCCAAACACGCACTCGATGGCCTCGTGGTCGCTAGCGGTGTAGGCGTTGCTGATTTTCCAACTAGCGGTTCTGGCCAACGCTCTGCTGGCGAATGTGAGGTCGATGACTGACCCCATGCCTCCCCTGCTGAACGTTTGTTGGTGACCTTCATTGAGCAGCACCATGTCCAAGGTGGCGAAGGCCTCCAGCACCGTGCGTCCTCTAGCGTTGGTTCGGGAGGACCCCCACTCCTGGGCCCAGGCATTGAAGTCGCCCCCGACCACGACGACGCTTCGTCCTCGCAGGTCTCCGATCAGCTCGTCAATGATGCGGCTGAAGGTCTCCAGCGGGAGGCTGGGCGCCAGGTAGCAACTATAGACCCACATCCCGCCTACTTTGCCTCGAACGAACCCCTCGGCCGACTTTATGTCGCCGATCTGGGGCGTCTCCACTCCGCATGTCCACAACGCTGCTCTGCCCGAGCGGTCTGTGGCCCAGTTGCTGCAGCTGGGAGCCCTATAGGGCTCGCTGAGGATTGCCACCTCCGATCCCCGCTCACGCACCGTCTGTTGCAGGAGGTCCTGCGCGGCCCTGCAGTGATTCAGGTTGAGCTGGATCAACCGCATGTCTTGCTGCGTTGACCGACCCTGCTGAACGCGGCCGTGCAGCTTTTGCTGCCTGCCTGGTGCCTGGACTCCTTCTTTCCCGCTGCCGAGCAAATGAAGCATGATGGCTCGTTTGTGCAGGCTGCGGCTTTGTGCCCCTGCTCGCCGCATTTAATGCAGCAGCCACTCCTATCCGTTGTGCTCCTGCAGCTGCTCGCGATGTGCCCCGGTTCCAGGCATCTGTAGCACCTCGGAAGTCCTTCTCTCTCGCGGATCCTGCAGACTGTCCATCCGATCCGCACCTGTCCCCGCTGTATTACAGCTTTGCCCAGGGAAACAGGCAAGCTGACTACAGCCGTTTGGGACTCCGCGTAGCCGCGTCGTAGGCTTCTCACCCTGACTCGTTCCTCCTCTATCGCGAACTGGCTCGCGATGGCGGTACATATCTCGCTCTCTGTCGCGAGGGAGTCGAGATCGCGGATTTCCAAGGCGACCACCTTCGATTCCTCTGACAGCGCTCGCACTGCCGCTGCGTCGCCAAGTACGCGGGCGATGCTCTCCTTCATGGTCTCAGCGCTCTCTGAGCTGTCTTTTGCCACCTCCAACAGAAGATTGCCGTTGAAGGTGCGGCGTACCCTGGAAACGCAGCTTCCCAGGTCCGACAGCTGGTTGTCGGGGATACGGTGTGTGTGTGTGTGTGTGTGTGTGTGCATTTTCACATATCCTTTAAGCTGGCGGCGGCTCTTGTGGGTCTTTTGGGGCCGGGTTGGTGCTCCCGGGCAAACATGAAATATTTCCAAAACGAATGTGCCATAACAGTTGAGTGAATAAAACATTAACAAATATTTATTTCCATAACTGCTGCCGCTTGCCGTTGCCCTCCCCAGCCACCTCCCTGGGGTTTTGGTTTTGGTTTTATTTTGTTATATTTATTTTCTCGCTTTTTCCTCTTTTATTTTTCCTTTTACTGCAATAGAGCTTGTCCTTGCTGTTGTTTCGGCTCTCCCCAGCCACGTTTCAGTTACTACTGCGATTACACCAAGCGGCAAATAAATAAAATAACAACAAGCAAAGCAATAGCAAAAGCAAAAGCAAAACGCGAAACCCGTGCGCCGTGCGCCGTGCCACACACACACACTCACAACCGTTTCCACCTCTCTAGCCTCGGGGTCAAAGAGCAAACCAAGGCGGGTGCTCTTTTTGGATTTGGATTTCTTTTTGTGGGGTCACATTCTGTACTCAAAGCGAGTAACTGCAACCGCTGGCAACATTCCGCTGTACGAGTAGACCCACCTCACCTAAGCACCGCCGGACTGGTGCTAATGCAGCATTTAAGGCAAACTCTCGCCACAACTCGTTGGCTTTTTCTCTCTTTTGACGGGTAAACCACACAACAGAAATGGCAGAAAGCCAAGGCGCTGCCACGCCACTCCACTTCCCCATGGTAGACTCTATTCCCCGGTTGCCACTCCCATTTGCCAGCATTGCTGGCCACGTAAATTGCGTAAAATCCCCGCAGCTGAAGCGCGAAGCCAACGCGTACTCCTCACTAATTGCACATTTTTATCTCAATTATTGCGGCTTACTTACTCGTACTTCTTTTGAGTCTTCCTCGGCGCAATTCGTTGTACATGGGGGTCGCGCTATGCCATCCACTAGGGGATTATGGATGGAGTGGACCATGCCTTGTTGCATATTCCGCACCACTCGAGTAGTTAAAGTGCATTTAATTTTGTCTTTGGAAGCCAACAACTTGGACTTAGTGTATGACAAATTCTAGCGGCTATTCTCTAGAGTCGAGGAGTATTCATAATCTACGAATATCACTAAAGTTTTGCAGCAGACGAAGCCACGTGTTGAGTTATTTGTGGGTCTGGAATTTCAGTTCGTTTTTGGCACATATTAATTTACCCAAAAGTAGGTAAAATATTAGCCAGTTTTGCTCTAAACTTCACTAAAAGACAAACTATACACATTTTGAATTTTTAGCAATGTCTAATTTGTAAACAAACACATGCACTTTGCCCACTTTGGTCACACTGAGCACAGGCGGGCGGTGCATAGGAATACGGCCATTAGTACTGAAACTAACCATCAGATTGGTTAGACCAGAAATATAGACCTTATGGTTTATACGTATGGATACATACATTATAAACCATATGATCTAGTTTGCATTTGTAGGAGAACTTTGTCAGTCAGTATTTTGTCTATACCAAGCTGGTATTTTACTGTCACGACTACGGATAACCTTTTAGTAATCGATTGTTATTTTTATTTAAGCCTGTGGTGCCGGCTGCCTCAAATTTTGTCCGAATTGGTAAGCTAAATTGAAAAACCTAACCAGCTGACTTTTATGTCATCCTAGTAGACTAGATTTGTTGCACCAAAATTCCGATTTCATTTTGTGCTATTAAGTTAGAGAAGTCAGACCCTATGGTAAGAAACTTCTAGTTTGTGCTCGCTTGTTGGTGTTAATAATTATTGGTATTAAGATGAATAGCCTAAATATAGATTTGATATATGTATCAGATAACGATGACTCCGTCCCACTAAATGCTAACGCAAGCGACGGAAACAATTCCAACAACAGCTCCATCTCAAGAAGTGGCTCCGGCTCCGATTCTAGCCCTGCTGACAGGGAACCGGACCGTATCGATATGTTAATTGCTGAAGAATTCCACGGTATGTTTAAGCCATCGTAGCCGCATGCATGAGACTAGTTGTTCTGACTTTCAGAAAGGATCACTGGGATCGATCCCAGAAGTGCAGTGAATCGTGTACCAGAAGTGGTGATCGACTTGACTTATCCGGATTCACCAAGCAACTCAATCGAAACGATTGATTCGGATCTCTCTGATTTCGTCCCCACTAATCGCCGTCGTAGCCATGCTAGCTCCGAAACTCCCACTGCAGCTCGTGCTACGTTGGATATCGACGAGAGCGCTCCGTCGGCTCCGAAGCGCAAGCGCAAGCGCAAAGACAAAGACCAAGATATGAATCCGGATGATGTCTACAAGTGCCCCGTTTGTCTGGAAATTGTACGCCACCGCGAACCATTTTCGACAAAGTGTGGGCACGTTTTTTGTCGCCAATGCATCGAGACAGCCATAATCAGTTTCCAAAAGTGTCCACTGTGTCAACAAAAATTGACCCTAGCAAAGACAAATCGTATTTTTTTGTGAGCGTAAATTTCGAGTCATCATCGGGCCCCCTTGCATTTTTATGTGATGCAAACTTTGAAGTTCCTTGTGTTCGATAATAAATTAGAAATACTCAAGAACTGTACAATTACCTAAACTTTGAAGATCTAAGCGACACTGGGTATGCACTGGTCAGTGCACGAAAATATTTCCAGCTCAGTTGATGGCAAAGCTACACACAACGAAGTTGTCAGACATTTTGCTGCTTTGAAATATTCGTAATTAAACTGGGTGACAACAATCAGCAAACTCCAGACATCAGAGTTGGCTGGCAATGCGCAGAAGCAGAGGAGGAGGACGAAATTGCCCCTGGTCTGGCTGGAATATAATTGCAGGTTACTGCAATTGCTCTCTGTTTCAGCTTCACCAGGAAGCAATGGACGTAGCCGCCTTGCCGATCCTTCGATTTTGGCCTATGTTATACCTGTACTGAAGGTGGCCCGGGATCAGGGCCGCCGTTTGGTATCGATATCTATGTTGTCAACGAAAACGAAAGCGCAACTCCCGTATGGATGGATATATGGATATTACTCGTGGCTAAAAAGAAAAATACTAGAAATAGTTTGTAACGAAACTATTTGTTTTTTAGGTGGTCATAGTGCCATTATAGAAGCCGGGCCCAGAAAAGTATTTTTACCATTGCACTCTACTACTAGCCGTGATTCAGTTCTTGTTAAGATCCATCAGACTACCCCGAATTCCCGTTCGGCCAATAGGACTGACTGCCAATTCCGAGTGCCAGTACCGATGCCCAATATGCTTCTCTGATGCGAACGAACTAGATAGCCTACGTGCACCCCCTTGAGGCCCCATATGTGGCGGCTCGAGTCTGGCAAAGGCCCTGGCAATTCGTCCATGGTGCCCCATTTGTGGCACTCATGGGGATTTTAGCAAGTCCATACGTCTGCTCTTCTAAGATGGGAGAGAGACACTTTTTAGCCCTGTTCATAAGATACTGAAGTGACAAGTTCATCATTTAATTTGCTTTTAAAGATGTACGTAGATACGTAAATGCTAGCCACAGTTTGTCTTTTAAATATATAATTGTATCTTGGCACTAATCGTGAGTGTATGTCTGTCAGCTATACTTTAACTTGACACAGGTCTTCCTGGAGCTGGTTGCCTTCAGTACTTTTAGGGCAGCTGACTAGCCGGATGGCGTCTGTCAATTAAGTAGAGTCAGAGTCAACAAGCTCCGTCAGCAGTGTGGGCACCAAACAGCGTCATACAGGCATTATCATCATCATTGAGGAGAAGGATGGAACTTCCTAGCCGCGTCAGCACAACTCTGTGTCTCTCATGTGAATGGGCGCAAGTGAGTTACTTGTAATTACCACAAAATTCAATATATACACTCGTTGCTGCGGCTCCACATCCACATCCACCTAGCCACCCCACGGACAGACAGCTGCCTTCATAGTCAAACATTATTTGGCATAGTCTCGGGCTCGTACTGGAACTCGTTTTGCCTAACGACCCAACCATCGACTTGCGTCATATCCCTTCCAAGTTGTCGAAGATGCGACGACCGCACGCACAGATGCCTCCGCGTTGGTCCGCAGCTGTAGGAGCTGGAGCAGGGTGAAGGAACAGTTCGAGTGGGTAGGAGAGCTCCTGCCTACACTCCAAATGGCAGCTGTAAAAAATCACAGCATCAGCATAAAAGTGCTTAAAAGCAGCCGCGGTGTCCTGAGAGCGGGGCATGTTTTTGCTTTTTGCGCTTCACTTTGCACTGAAATTTCCAGATTTTACTCACACCCACCAGCCATCAGACACCAGGCATCAGCCATCCCATTCCCCCGCCCATCGGTGGCTGTAAAAGTTTCGAGCAGTTTTTCTTTTACTGATTCCTATCTACAAAATTTACGTTTCTTGACAGCCAGAACAGGACGATGCTCTGCCATTGTGGCGAGAAAACTCATTTCATCATCAGGCGCTCGTTTGGTTATTCTCATTTTAATGGAATGATTTGGAAAAATAAATTATGAAGCATTTTAATTGCCACAAAACAGATTCCATACCGCCATCACCAACCACCACCACCACCACCACCACCACCAACCACTAAGAGCAGCTCCGATGGGCATCTTCAGTTAGAGCTCGTTAATGCGGCTACCTAATTCAATTTTGCATCTTAATCCAATCAGCAAATTGAAGAATAATTGCCACACAGACAGAGGGCCAGACATAATATTACATTTTGCATTTTAATTGGGATTTACTAATTAAAAAGTTTTTCTGGTTACACTTTGCATTTGGTCGCAAGGAAAACAATGAGCTTTGGCTGCGGTTGGGTCGATCTCTGTGGCTGGGGCAGTGACTGGTTGGAGAGCTTACATGGTTGGGTTAGGCACCAGCAGACCTTTGTCAAATATTGGCCGGGCTGTTGGCGGATTATATATCAGATAACTGACCCATAAGCCTTGCAATATTAATTAGTACGGAAGCTTTAGGAAATTCTTTAATATTTAATCACAAGGGAGTTATTGCGAAAGTTTGTCAGATTTCCCATTTAAATCGATTTTAAAGGAAACTTTGCGTTAAGGCAAAAATATTTAACTCAAGGCGATGGTCGAATGCTTCGCTACACAGTTCTGAGATATCTGATCACCAGAATGTCTACAGAGATAATTTCTTGAACTTCTGTTAGCAGCTGATGTACGGATTTCATTTTAATACATTTATGCATATCCTTACTGGGAGGCTGTAGGGCACATAAGACAAGTGTACAAGTGCACACAATCCCAAGGGACACCCAATGCTATAGCCACTCTATGCTCAGCATTCAAAGTGCACAGAGATCGGCACGCACCATTAAATTCGTCAATGCAATTTGCACACAACAATTGACATAATAATAAAAAAAGCCAAATTGAATGGCAGAGAGAAAAAAGGGGGCTAAAGAGACAAATAAATGGAGAATATTGCGCATAAATGTATTTAAAATTACGCATTGCTCATACGCAGCGTATGGCAATATTTCCGCTCGACGGCGCCTTTTGTGTGCATGTGTGTTGGAGACGTGTCCGTTGAGCCGGAGCTGGAGCTGGAGCTGGAGCCGAAGCCGGTCCGGGCCGTCCACTTAGTATTCAGTACACTGACAAAACGACTGACACGTCGTTGCCTAACGGCAAGGAGCAACATCAATATCGCATAGCAACAGTGACAGAAGCAGTAGCAGCGGTGAGCAGGAGGCAATGGCGAGAAGGTTTCGAAGGAGCGTAGCCCCTACGCAGGCCAATTTGCAATAATATTGATTTTTCATTTTTCGTTTGGGTTTTGGTTTTATATTTTCAGTTTCATTGGCAGGAAAAAGTAAAGGCAACACAACATGGCCAAAGCACAGAGAACAAAAAGTTGGCCAAAGCACGCTTCTGGCATGGCCTGGTCTGGCCTGTCCTGGTCATGCCCAATGTCGTGCAAACGCCAGCGATGAGCCAACAATCGCATACACACACACACATTACTGCACAGTGTACACCCACTCATTGGCATGTCGCGTCCCGGGGCCAGTTAAATAGTCAAAGGACAGCAACGCTGGCGTCAACGAAGGCGTCTCTGGAGCTCTACACTCCGCTCCGCAGCGCTCGGTTCACGTTCTTCAGCGGCGGCAAAACATAAAGTTTTGCAGTCAAAGTAGGATACGACTATTAAATACCTGATACTGACAGGCAAATAAAAATAATTGTGGTCTCAAGTATCCCCTTTTTGTGGAGACAGATTTTAGTTTCGTGACTTAAATTTTGATGTGTCCCCTTAGTTAGTCCCCTTTGTTATTCTCCGGAGGCTAGGACTTCCGAAATTGCAACAGATATATGGCCACTGCGTTCTGTTTCTCAAAACTGCCTCAGATTGGTACCCTAGCTCCGTGAAGACCTACATACATACATACAAGGGCGGTATATGGTTATGGCTGTTTTTGTAGGGTACGCGACGCGACTTTTGCCGAGTGGGTTGCCAAAAACAAAAGCAATGGCAATAGCAAAATGCCAAAAAGAAAGAACACAAGCGAAAAGTAAAAGCAAAAAGCAAAAGCAAGCAAAACAAAATTAGTTTCATAAGTTTTTTATGAGTTCATCGCTTTTTTGTGTATGGCCAGCAAACACAACACACAAACACAAGAACATACAAAGATACATACACATACACACACGCATACTGTTGCAAATACCAACGTAAGAGTATAAGCACAAAAGTCGCCTGGCTGACTAACCAGCTTTTGTGCCAAGGGTCGAGCGTTGGGGCGTTCGTCGCGTGGGTGGACGCCTCTCTCTGACGCCTCCTCCTCGATACCCAACGCAATTCCCCCTCTCTCATGAAGCTGCTGCTGCTGTTGCTGTTCTGGCACTTCCGCTGTTCCTCTCACTTCCTCACACACATGCACGCACACTTTGAGGAACTTTTAGGCAGGCAAATAATTCACAAAAATACACAAATACATACAATCATACTCGTATACAGCAGGAAGCCAAGTAATATATATTGCGAGTAAGTTTCTTTTGTTGTTCGGCTAGACGTTTAGTCGCAGTCGGAGAGAACGAGCGAGAGGCACTGCTTGTGCTTGTGCTTGTGCGTGTGTGTGTGTGTGTGTGTGTAGATGTGAGTGAAAGAGAACAAGATGAAAGCAATGGCGACAATTTGTTAAATTGTTATTGTTATTTCTATGTTAAATGCTCGCCTGCCCTCACAATGGCCCTCCCCCAAAAACTTATACCCGTACACCAAAGACCACCACTCCATGACCACCTTATAGCTCGCTCCAGGACACACCGACGGCTGCTGCACGTAACGTCGATCTGCATAAATTATGTGAAATTTATAAGGACAACACAAAGGGAACAGAACCAACAGCAGAAACAGCAGCTAGCAAAACTTATTACGTAAAACAAATATTTTACAACAGTTTTTATTTTTTATTGTTCAGTTGTTTGCCATTTTCGGACAATTCCTCACAAGGAACATGGAAAGCGAAAACAGAACATGATGCGGTGAGTGCAAAGGTAGTATTGTTAGCGAGTTGGGGGATTTAATTTATTTTCGACTAATTATGCAGATGCAGGAAAGGGTGTGAATACATAGTTGAAC